AACTTGCAGTTAGATGACCTCAGTGAGGTTGTGTTGAAAGGATTATTCTTTGTGCACAAATTTTAACGAATGCTTTCTTTCTTATTAGTGATGTTTTGCAATATGACGTAATATGAATTTCCTTCTTATGTATGAATACAGTATTCTGTATTATTTGTTTCCTGTATGTGGGACAGTGAATGAAGGAAGCATTGCGAAGTGCACTACAAAGTCTAATAATTTGCCGATTCAATGTTGGAGGTCACATGAAACTGGAAGATTAGTTTTTACTGCTTTAGATAGGGACACAATGAACTTCTTGAGACCATTGCTATCATTGATGTACCAGAAAGGGGAAAATGTCACTGAAAAGAGGGAGATCTGAACCCTCGCAGTTTGTTTGAGGCGGTGAAAAAATTCGCGAATAAATTTGTGGTGTTTATTACAATTATTCTATGTAATCAGAAAATTTCATTAATTGTGATAGATCACAAGGAGATAGTAGTAATTAGTGAGAAAATGTGAACCTACGTCCTAAAAGCCGCATTAGGTTTGATACAAATTTAATTTGCCCGGAAGTAGTTGTGACGATAAAAAGGTGTATGTTACTGAATTTGAAAATTGATTTGATGGTAGTGACAATCGATATTTTACTGTAATCTGTATTATTATATGCTCACGATTCAAGTGCCTAATGTTCATGTCATGATAGGTTTAAAATATTGTTATTCTGATTGCATCTTGAAAAAATTAATCAAAGTCTCACTTATTTTCATATCAATCTCATTTATCAATCATTATTTTCCACTTTGTTTACTAAGTTAACCTATTCACAGTTTCAACCATTGTAGACCATCTTTGCTTCTGAAATACTGAAACCGCAGCACGACGATATGGCTCCAACGATATAATAGTACAAATGGAAATGATTATGACTCTGAACTGAAATTGTAGTAAATTTCTACGTTTTATCCATGCATAACTGTGCTATTGGACCGATTATTAATAAATATGACTTACCCCAAAAACAAAAAGGATCTCTGTTTTGATTGTTGTCTCGAGGGGAGTTGGCTGGAAAGATAGTCGCAACCAAATAATGAGCAAATTATTATTATCGACGCATGAACTAAAACTATTCACTGACTAATTATGAACTGAATTAATGAATTAAAATTTCTGAAGTACATGTGAAAAAGATAACTCTAAAATATGAAATAAGAGCACAGAATGATACAATGAGTACTGTAGCATAGTTTCACCGCTCTCTCATATCTGTCAAGATCACTTGAAACAAGAACGCAAAAAACCCTGCGGGGTGAGATTAACAAGGGAAATAAGTTCACGAATTGTTGTTTTAGACGACTCAGAGTTTGCATCATTAGTCGGGAAAGTAATCCGGCTTTTTCTTGATGTGATGTAGTGGTGGAACCTGTGTAATGAAATAAGGGTCAATTTGTAACAAATTTGTTTTGCTAACCGGAAATGAGTGCATCGATGGTAACAAAAGTTAGATTTGATTTAATGATGGTGTGGTCGAAATTTTACTGTAATCTGTATCATTATGCCCATCACTCAAGTTCTTAGCCCAGCACTCAGTTCATGTCATGATAAATGTTAAAAAATAGTTTTTCTCATTGATAATTTTTATGGCAGTATGAAAATATTGATTAAAATCTAACAACAGTCGGTACAAGTAGTCTATATTTCATCAGAAGCTCACAAATTCATTCAAAGATTGTTGCTTCTAATCTTCGTAATCAGTTATTCATAGAATCTTGTTTCCAGTTTTTTGTGTCATCAGAAATTTTGATATGGTCTTCATTATCAGCTTATTAATTGTCCTCTGTTACCGTTACCTCCATTTTTTTGATAGATGTATCAGTCCTTCAGTTTTGGAAGTGAAGTATTCTCTGTGACAGGGTTGCTGTTTTATATTGTTATACATGTATCAAGAGAATTCAGAAACTCATAGCATCCTTGTGTGTGCAGTAAATGAACCAAAGGAGGTACTTATAGCCATGTTTTGTTATCTGTTTTTGAATGTTTTGTATTGTAAATGAAAACTTTAATGAATTGTGATGACTTCTTATCATAATGCTTTCAAAATAATACAGTATTCAAATGCATTTTACAAAGGAAAATTATTACTTAAAAAAAAACTGACTGCGAAGTTAGCAACGTGAAAATCATAAATGTAGTCAAGGCAGTTTCATTGTGCTGTAAATCGCCTTATTTGCAAAACACTTCACAAAATTATCACGAAAATGAATCGTTATGATGTCTCCATCATAACTCTTAAATCTCAAATTCATGTTGAGTAATGATGACGTACTTAATGCTCAGCAGAGACTTAATGCAGAGTGGTAACTCCTTATGGTATTTTTTTCTGTGTTTATTCCTACAAACATACTAAAGTGCTTTTGTCTAGCTATATTAAAATTTCGTACCGCTGCCTACCAGAGCTTAGCTCTTGTATTTTATGACTAAATCAAGTAGTCTGCACACTGCACCCTTCCAATCTCTTCTCTTCTTATCTCATCCCGTACAATATACATTTGGTTACAGAATATCCCTCTCTAATGACTCTTTAATCATACAGCATTCATCAAATCAAATTCCACAATTTCATACTTCCCCTCAAATTAGTAACGGAAGCAAAGTTTGTTAAAACGCTCATTTTGCAATTTTTTCTCACTGGAGGTAACGTTGTAGCGAACACGTTTATTTGACTTTAATTCTTTCACTCGTGGTAGCGTCCATTCATATAAAAAATCTTGATTTGACTTTTTTCTAAAATTTTGTCGCTTCTTTTTTAAGTTATTGTGCTTGTATTTATATCCGTCTTTCACATTTTCATCACATTCTCTGTATATGCGTTAAAAAATGATTCAAACATTCACTTGAATTACTCATTTTATGAGAAAAAAAATTGTACACTAAATTTTTAAAACTTTGCTTGAAACGCGTGTTGTCCTCTTATGCAGCTTTTCATATTTCAGCACAATTTCTGCTTTTTGCAGTTTTATTTATTGGAGCAGTTTTTTTTAACGTTTATTCTACACACAAAACGGCGCACTTATTATTTGATATTGTGACTAAAGTATTGATGGCCGCGTAATAAAATAAAAAGATCTTAATTAGCGTAATTAAAAAAGCAATTACCAATTAAAAATTATTCGACGTGTTAATGCACCTAAAATTAGCAAAATTGAATAATCTATACCAAAATTTTAATAATCAATTTACGAGCATAAAAATGTCAAAAAAATTTTTTGTTAGTTTTTATTATATTAGTAAGTACCGCTATAAGGTGTAGTGTTGTGCTCTCTTTGGAAATAATGGTTAAAGGTTATAATTATTTTACTTATTTTTTTCAACAAATCATGGAGAATGAGTTACTTGCAGTAAATTTGTTGGTGAAAATTTGGTCACTGTTTTTTTTGGATGTATAAAAATTGCAGATGGATATGCATCCGTGCCCTCGTCTTCACCTCAAAAGTCATCGGCACACAATGCATTGTCCAACGGGAAACAGAGACAAGTTAAAATAAACGAGTAAATAATTTGAGTATGTCTATGAGTTTGTGTGTCAGAGAAGTGCTTAGTATGCATGCAAAAACTGCTCAAATTTATTTGCAATCAAAAAGAGTCATTCTTTCTTTGCATGTTTAGAATCATAAAAGTTTGGTACTAACTAACTCTTTTGCGTCATGTTTAGCACAATTTTGTAACGCTTTAGAGAAGCGTACAAATCGCTCGATGCAAATAAATTGTTGAATGAATTTGGAACGTATGGACGATATCAAATGATCTCATATGTACTTTGCCAGTTCACCAATTTTTTCTATGCTGTATCGATATTTATAATGATCTTCATAAATCGAAGACCTACAGATTTTATCTGCAAAATTCAAGATCCAGTAAGTATGCTAATAAATATTCTGTTGTCTCATTTGCTAGCTATATTTCATAGCATTCAACTTCTTCTGATATCTATTGTTGAATAAAGGCAAAAATTTGACAAATTGGATTACAGTTCACAGAGCTAGCCTAATAATAATAAAAATTAGATAAAGTTAAGAATTAAGCCATGTACCGACAAAAATTCATGATTTTTAGCTTCGAATGGAATTGATCAACATGGCTGATCCATGTAGACTTAAAGATTTGGAAGCAGGAAAAGAATTGAAATGTGCCGCATATGGTAGTGGAACATCCATTGTTAGCAATTCAACTAGCAAATCACGCAGCATTCTTCTCGAGGTTAAACTTCATTTCATATTTTTCCTTGAATTCAATATTTCCTTGAATTCTTTGCCAAGGTGGTAACAAACAAAGTGGAAAAAATATATATATTTAATGCATACGCTAAAGTTAAATCAACTTCACCTTCCAGTTGGTTTTTCAGTATCAATTATTGTGTAGTAATCCATTTATACAAGAAGCTGGATTTTGGATTTTCTCCGTTGGTACTATTTTTTGTATCCAAATTTTTAGTCAGATTTCGTAATGGTACATTTATGCCAGTCCTTAAAAATTTTCACTTTATATCGTCTGCATCTGATTATATAGTAATAATATGTTTCAGACAAGTAATTTATTTTCTGACTTCACAAATCCATATCGGTCAGAGTTTCATGTTTCAGGTGCTTTGATTGCTGTGCCAATAGCATCTCATTTATCGGATCGTTATGGTCGACGACCAGTTCTTTTGATAGCAATGTATTTAAGTACATTGTTCAGCTTCGTTACAGCATTTTCACCTAATTATTTCGTCTTCGTAGCGTTACGATTTCTTGTTGGAGCCGCAGCTGATGTAATTTGAGATTCTTTGTAGCCAAAGTCAATATTTCCTTTAAAATGAAGCCATAATGGTGGCTACAATTAAGAAAATGAATAGTACTTTCTAACACTAAATTACTTTTAATAAGGCAAAGTAATTTTGCACAGAAAATATTGTGAAAATTTATTAAAAGTGAGAATCGTGTTTTCGCAAGTCTTGAGACAGTATTTTGTATTACTAGAAATTTTTTAACCGTACTTCCGTTAATAAATTCTCTGGAAAGATTTTCATGATTTTATGTCTTTGAAATGGATAATCGCAAATCAAAAATATCAAAATTCTCACGAGCAGTACTTACATTCTTTAATCTTAAACTACATTATGCAAGTACTAATAACAATTTCATTAATCATAGTATTACCAGTACATGTATTGCTTCTTTTTATTATCAAAATAAATTGTTGCCTATTATTTAAAGTAAAATTTTGGAAAAAAGGAACACATTTAATTTTTTGCCTTCTAAAAAAATAAAAACTTATTAAAAATTATTTAAGTTATATTATTGAGTTGTAAGCTTCGGACATATTCTTTTCAGACATATTTAACCGTTGCATCAATTCTTTGTTGTGAAGTAGTGGCTGGATCATTTCGTGAATGGATAAGTTTTTTCGGAGTAACATCTTGGCTACTTGGGTACTTATATGTCGGAGTTTTGGAACTCTTCATCAAAGATTGGAGGAAACTTTATTTTGTATCCACGATTCCAAACCTGTTAACTCTTATTTATTCTTGGTTCGACATAAGTTTGTCTCACTCATTTCATCTTTTAAGTTCTTGAACGATGTATTTGGATGTTCTTTTTGAAAATGATCGCAATGCATGAAAGTTCTAAAGAGATTTACCTATAAAATGAAATTATCTTTGAAGCTTTTACTATGTACTGGAAAACTTTAAAAGTAAGCAAACTCTTTACTTAAAAAGCTGTAACAATTTCACTCAAAGTTCAAAGTTCTCAAGTCTTTTTGAAGTCAATCATTTTGGGTTGCTACCTGAATCGCCTCACTGGATGGTTTCAAATAACAGAATATACGATGTAAGAGATTATGTGGAGACATCTTCAAAGTATGATGTTTAATTTCACAGTCTATGTTTGCACTGACCGATGAATTCATTATTTTGGTGTATATGTAGTTCTCATTTGAAACCAATAGCAATATTGCGAGATTTCTTGACTTACAGATTCAATGATATGAAAATAGATTTGGATAAATGTCGATCACATTCTAGCACAAAAAATATGGCAAGTGAAGAAAGAACTGCTTGTAGTTTATTCAAGCGCAAACGAATAATGTATTTCCTATTTGTCAATGGCTTTATTACGTAATTTATTCATAATTTTTATATTTTGGTGCGATTGAATTCGTTTATACTTTCAATGGCCAACTTGCCAATGAAGTTTCTTGTGAATTGGAAATTTGCAATTTGAAACTGTAGCAAAAACCAAAATATTTTAGATTTCATCTTTTTATCTGATATGTAAGAGAAGAAAAGTAGATAAGATCTAAAATTGTTTCTTGATATGAACAATTTACTGATTTATTGTTAATGACTCAAGTTTATAAATTCAAGTTCATACTTTCTGATATATTGTTAATGGCTAGCACGTTACTTTTAGAATGATTTTGAACTTTTACTACTTCGTCGTTTCTTTGGATAGTATTAATTTAACAAAACAAGAATTCATGGGATATGTTCTGTCTGGTTTGTCAGAAATACCAGGAGGCATCATTGCAGTCCCATTACTTCATTTCTTTGGTCGTCGCAGTGTCACATGTGGTTCATTTTTCTTGCAAGCAACTTCTGCACTTATTGCACCATTTCTTGCAGGTACTAGATGGTGCTTTTCTTTTTTCCATGAAATGCTCGAACTGCTCTAACAGAACAGTAATCCGACATTTTCCATACGGAATGTAAAAAAGAATAAAGTATTACTTTTTGAACCAATTTTAGATTCTTAGTTGCCGCAGTAGTTTTGCAATCAAACATTTTTCTCTAAACACAACAATTCTATCTTTGTATGAGCCAGAAATTTTGAAAAAAAAATACCTGACCCAAAATTTAAAATTATATGTGAGGACTCTGCAATATTTGTTGGTAGGTTAATCAGTACTAAAATAGAAAAGTAATATTTTGAGTATTTTATCTAAATCTTGCAATCAACTGAATTGCACATAATAGAATCATAGAAGAAATGCAGAAATTGTGTGGGCTCGATTGTTGTGTCACTTCATTGGAAGAATGG